AGGGTCAAGCAAATGGCATGCCCTCTTCTGAGGCCTTAACCTTCATTTTTTTCTCTCACTTTCAGGTGGTCACCAACAGAGACACGCAGGAGACTTTGCTGTGCATTGCATATGTCTTCGAGGTGTCAGCCAGCGAGCACGGGGCTCAACACCACATCTACCGGCTGGTGAAAGAATAAGAGACTTGGGGAGCAGGGAGGGGGGAAGAGATGTTGTGTGTGTAGGGACATGGGGCAGGGACCTGCAGGGGCAGCCCCTTGAAGTGCCAAGAAAACTGACCCTTCCTAACCAGGAACAAACTGTGCCTGAACCTGCAGTTCCCAACCCCAAATAAAGCCAAGATGTATATTTTCAGAGGACCCCATCTGGCTGTAGGAGCCCTGGGAGGGACTGTGGGAGAAGGGGACAGTCTGGGAAGCAGGCCAGAAGCAGCCCCAGAGATGCATCTTGGGCATTTCTGAAGCCATTGTCCCAGTGGACTCAGCCAGGAATGTCTCCAGATGCTGAAGGTCAAGCTGGGATGGTTGCTCTGCTGCCTCGAGCCCCTGCACTCTGCGCCTGGCCACCCTGGGAGGCCCGAGGATAGGCGCTGGGCTCCCCATTCTGCGTGTGCTCGTGTACCTGTGCTGGATGCAGCTGCATGGCCTGGCCACCTGGGCTGCTGCTGCCGCGGGGCAGCTGCCAGGGAGAAGGCCCAACCCAGAGGCTGGGTTTCAGGGTGGAGGTGATGGAGTCGGAAAGGTTGGAAAGGGACACAGAGCTGTTGAGTTTTTATCCATCTCTGGTGGTTGTGGATTCCATGGCCCCGCTGGCTTGTTGGGGGACTGGTTCCAGATCAGAGGAGCCCCAGATGGAGGGCAGGAGGGGCAGTGGTGAAGCCAGGCTGAGGAGTTGAGGTGCTGAGGCTGGCGTCATGCAGCACCCTTTTTGGTTGCGAAGGCCAAGAAAGTTGGTCAGAGGTCTGTGGTGTGTCAGTGGTCTCTGAGACCATCCAGTCTGAGGTTCTGTGAGTTTTGCCTCCCTCCCAGCCTGTGGGATGGTGACTGCTTGGGAGCCAGCTCAGGCCGTCCACTCGCTTCCCAGTCATTTCTGTGCTCCCTGGGGATGGGGGGGGAGGGGCATGCGTGGAACTCACCTGAGCCTAGAGGCAACCAACTGAAGGGGTTCCGTTTATTATTTCTCCTGCCAACTGGCAAGGGCTTTGGGTTTTAGCAGTCCTGGCTTCATCCTAGTATTCCTAGCTGCCTGACTTCGGGCAAATGTCTCCACCTTTCTGAGCCTGTAAAGGGGGCAGGCAATAGCACCCGCCTTAGAAGGCCTTAGTGAGGAGGAGAGAGAATGTCTACAAAGTGCCTGGTGCAAGAGGCACGAAACAAATGTTATGATAATTAGCTTAACACTCACCTCCCTCAGGGAGGCCTGGCTCGTTGCTGCCATCTAGTGGCTCGTTTGTATCATCCCCAATGGGAACCACAATCCCAGGAGCCTGGGATTCAACCTACCTACAGGTGCTTACTGTGCCCAGCACTCAGGGAGATAGTGTGTGGGAATATACAAGTGAGGAAGACAGCATCTAGGAGGAGGTACAGAGTAGTGGTTAGGAGCAAGGGCTCTGGTGTCAGACCACTAGGATTGGAATCCTGGTGCTCAGCTACAGCCTAGCCGTGTGACCTTGAGGCAAGTTACTTAATTTCACTGTGCCTCAGTTTCCCCATCTGTAAAATGGGTATAATAACAGTACCTACCTCATATATGTGTCAAACCCCTAGCATAGTGTCAAGCACATTAATGTGTTGGATAAATATACTTTATTAATAGTAGGAGCTTTCAGTCTAAGGAGTCAGATTGGAAAACTGACTGATCTGATCCTCAGAGCAACTGGACTTCAGAGGTGGGAGCAAGCAGGGTGTGGGTGATTCAGAGAAGGGGCTCCAGTTGAGAGGGCTGCCCCTTGAAGGATGGGCAATGTTTAGATACACGGCAGGAAGAAGGCTGGCCCGTGTTCCAGGTGGGGACAAGAAACCAGCTACCCAGTCTCCCTCTGTCCTCCACAGGCCACTACTCCCTCTCTTTATTAAAAAGCAACTTTAACAAACACCTGGACTACTGCTAGACCTCATGTCAAGTTGCTTAATACTACTGTACGTGGGGGCCAAGGTGGGGTATGGGGGTCCCCAAGTTCCTGGCTCCGGGCTGGCTTGTGCTCACATGTCTGTGAGGATTTGTGTTTATATAAGGCTCCCCCATCCCTCCCCCAATCACCGGTACCACCCTTTCCCTGTCCCCTCTCCCTTTCCCCTTCCCTTTTCCTGGGGCTGTTTGGATAAGGGAGATTCTGATGCCTGCCCTGCTAGCTGACTGAACCTTCAGACAAATGCTCACAAAGGATGTGTGAGCAGCCTCTTGACCATGGGACAGATGCATAAGTTAAGGGGATGATCTTTTTGTCGTGGTTGGGAAGGAGTCTGTAGATGTTGCAGCCAAGTGTTGGCTGTGAGTTTTCCCTTTTCTTTAGGAACTGACCTCAGTAGCCTAATGGAGAGTCACCTACTTATAACTGTAAATTCCAAACCAGTCAGCTGTGGGGAGCAGAAGAACTGTAAATGCCTGTCACACTGTTGTAGGGCAGACTGCGACCCTTGGGGCAGTCCGGAGGCCTGACCTGGCCCCACCTCTCCTGCAGCCTCATCCGACACACCCCGGGCTCTCCGAATCACTTACCCTTCCCAGCACGTCCCTGCCCTTTGGCCATGGCACATGTTCCTTGGCCTTCTACCCCCACTGGAGAGAACGTTTTCTCATTCTTCAAGAGCCAGTGTGGAGTCACCTGTTTTCATGCAGAAGGGTTTGCCACTCCTGCTCTTGTGCGGCAAAAGCATTCCTTTCCTGACCCATTGTAGCACCTTTTATGTGGTACCAGCAAACATCTTGGTACCTCTGTCATCTCTGCTCGCCCTCACCCAATAGGTACTGTGCTATCCCCGTTTTAAAGGTGAGGAAAGGGGCACAGAGGAGGAACTAACTTTCTTGGAGTATTCATACATCTACTCATTCACTAACACATATTTATTTATCTTCTGCTCTGTGGCCGACCCTGAGAATGTGTTGGACACCAAGACAGATGAGGTCCTTGGGGAGCTTACATTTTACTGAAGTGAGCAAGGAAAGAAAATGTGTAAACTTTGATGCACGCTGTCAAAGAATGAGAGTGCGCTGATGTTGGGAGTCACTGGGGAGCCTCTCTGAGGCCTGGGTAGGGCGAGGGTAGGATGGTGACCAGTGTGTTCCAGGTCAGAGAAGAGGGTGTGTTAGGAATTCAGGGGCAGAGACGCATGGCTGAGACGTGGAGGCAGGCAGGGGCTACATCCTGCCCAGGCCAGCGGTCCAGATGGAGAGGAGCTGGCGATCCAGCTCCCTCCTCCACAGGCCAACACCCCTTCACTCAGTAAGACTTTGGATTTTACTACATCTTACTGGAAGTATTTTAAGCATGAGAATAAGGCTCTTTGACTATGGGTGGAGACTATGGCTTTCTTGGTCTGTTACTTTCTGTAGACCAAGCACCACATTGGGAGCCTAGGAGGTACTTGAATGACTGCATGTGTACAAGGCAGTGGGATCCATGCCCTTTGGGCCTGGGGTGTGAGTAGGGGTTCCTGAGCCCTCTGGGATAGAGCCCTTGGCCTCTTGACACTCTCTAGAGCTAGCAGGCACCATCATGGAGATGGGGACGTGGAAACATTGCCTATCTCATGGGGTCTGGTGATGACAGAGCAGCCTGTGTCCCAGGGGCCAACAATGAGCTTTCAGAGTAGGATGATCTAACAAGAGAGACACGTGCAGAAGGAGTTTGAGATGTGTGTGCATGAGTGTGTCATGTGCGTGCCCGTGGGTGTAGACACAGGCTCTGCCCTTTCAGGACTGAAGCCGGGGGAGTGAGGAGCAAGGGGCTGCCATGGTGTGACCTGGCCCAGGCTTCCCAACCTCTGTGTGCTTAGTACATCACCTGCTTCCTTTCTCTGATTGTAGTGGGCAGGGTGGTGACAGGGCTAGAGGTAGGAGGGCTGGCACCCCTTGTAAGCAGGGGTGATAACAGCAGGCAGCTCTGACAGCTGGCAGGCCTGGGCCTGGTGTGGGCTCTGCTGGGCCACCAGTGCTCACCTGGGCCACACCTGCATAGAGGAGGTCAAGCAGTAATGTGTTTGGCTTTACTCAGTGGTCATTGTGTCTGATCCCTTCTTACATTATCTGTTATGTCAGCTCCAAGAATGAAAACAAGAAGCTTTTCCCCAAAGAGTTAAATCTATACAAGTTGTTTTTAAGACCTTTAACCCTGGAGCCAGGCTAATCTGGGAGTGAATTGGCTTCTTACAAGTTGTGTGATCTGGGGCAAATGACTGACTTCTCGGAGCCTTCGTAACCCCACTTGTGGAATGGGAGCTAAGTGGCTTTGACTTTGGTTGCTTTTGGGAGGAGCAGGGCCAGCCCCCCACCCCCATGAGCGTTCAGGGAATGCTGATGACTTAGGGCAGCAATTTTCAACCCTTTTCTCTCCTGGCACATAAACTCATTACTAAACTTTTGCGGCACACCAAAAATACTATATTTTTTGCCTACCTAATGAAAAAAATAGGTATATTTTTTATTCATTCACACTGGACAGCTATTGTGTTACCTGTTTTTGTTTTTTTTTCAATCCTCACTCAAGGATATTTTTTCAGAGTAGAAGATCGATGTAAGAGAGACACACTGATTGGTTGCTTTCCGCATACCCTGACCAGAGCTGGGGATAGAGCCTGCCACCGAGGTATATGCCCTTGGCCAGAATCAAACCCGGGACCCTTCAGTCCGAGGGCTGATGCTCTAACCACTGAGCCAAATCAGCTAGGGCACCTGTTGTCATTTTTTTACTTGACAATCTAAGGGAAAAGAGAGTATTGCCCCTGACTAAATAGTCAGGGATTACATGCTTTAAAAACTCTTGCAGCACACCTGTTGAAAATTGCTGACTTGGGGGTATGAAAACTCCCCTTAACTGCTCTTCACACATGCGCGCGCACACACACACTCTCTCTCTCTCTCCTCTCTCTCTCTTTTAGAAAACAAAACAAGCTCTACTCAAAACAGGCCAGGTGGAGGCCTCAAACCTGAGAGAGCAGGCCCCAGGAACCCAGGGGAGGGTCTTGAAAGGGAAGATAGAACAGATGGTGGCTAAGTCACTCTGAATAGGAAACTGTCTGGAATTCGTTTTTGTTTGCTTCCTGAGAAAGGGTGGGGAGAGGTGGTCAGGTGCTTTTGTACACAGCTGGAGTCCAGTTGGTGGAAATGGCTAAGGGTCTTTTTAAGTTCATGGATGTCTAATATTCAATGAAGTTTTTGTACTTTTGC